GTTCACATTGCATTTCAGTTAGAAAGAAATATATATTTAGATTTCACTTGTTAATGTTGTTAATTCAACTAAAACAATTCCAGATTGTTTACGCCTTTATTCATTTACAGACAAAAAAGTTGTAAATTGTATCTCTGTCTAATGTGTCTCTGTTCACAATTAAGCGTCATACACAGCCTCTATTCTATGTCTCATTCTCCAGAGAAAAGGAAATTAATCTTCTATGTGGTTAATACTAAAATATATAAAGTACAGCTGCAAATCATTCAATGAGAAATGAATTAGCTATATTTATGCATTGTGCTAAATTCATCATAGTTTTAAAATCAGAAAAAATCTATAGTAATAAAATGAAAAATGTATAAGTATGAGCATATATTCAGAAAGTTGTATACTTTAAAAAAATCAACTGAATTTTCTGATTTGGGGCTATAAGAATGATGCATTCAAAGTGGTCAGTCTATACAATACTCAAACTCTTGTGTCTGTAACCTTTAACTGGCTGTATCATAAGGTAGTATTTTTTGAACGATGGCTAACTTAACATAATGTCTCCTACATCTGGACTTGTGACTCCTGAGGGATTAAACTTGGCAAATTGGTGATCATTTCAATGCTGTTGCACTGCCACTCAGAGGTTCAGTACATCGGTTCCACCTTAGCACTCCAGATGGTAGACCAGTTCTACCATTGGCAGCTGGAGAACAGTCAGCTATGGGGAAGCCAGCAGGAGCTTGGAACTTGCTGCCATTTCTACTCGTCATTTTGTTTCTGTTTAGATAAGGAAATATCTATGAAACAATGATCCTGCAAATCACAGGTTGTCTAGTAACACCTTAAAATAATGACATTTCAAATATATGAAAATGTTATAAATTAATTATGTCTTACAGTTTTATGTTGATATAGATATATGAGAAATATAAATATATAATCCTATTTGTCTAATTCTGAGTGTAAGGAAAAAGAATGAGAAAAATGAAAATTTCCAAGATAAATTGTAGGAGATAAAATGCCTGGAATAACTAATTCCACAGCTTGATACCGTTTATTAATACCTGTAGGTGGTTCAAAAAGGGATTCAGATACAAAATAAATGTGATGCATTGATCATCATATACAGTTTTTGAATGGCAAACTGCACCACAAACTTCAAAACATAAAGATATATCAAGGTATATCTGCTTCTTTGTCCATGTATCAGATTGGGAAGTGCGCACTGGATATCTTTTCATTAAAGTGAGAAGCAACTAAAAATTCCCCGTCCTTATTTAAGAGACCCTTAAAGATAGTACATACTGATCATGGCACACTGAATATACTACATGAATAACATAAGTTAAGAAGGAGGGAGGGATGTCAGATTTTAGAATTGTAACAATCGAGTTTAACCTTCTTTTGGAAGTGACAGACTAAAGCATTCTGCCACGGTCTTAGCTAGAGAGGAAATGCTGCCTTTGGTTCCAACTGAATGCCACATATGCCACTGTCAGAGGGCCAAAAAGACACCTGGTTACACAGAGAAGAAATGCCAGAAAGATAATATCAGACAGATGAACTAGTGGTACATCCAACTCAATAGTCACTGTATTGAAACTGACTGAAATGGCAGACTTCCTTTTGCATTCCCCCATTTTTCTCCCAATTAGTTCTGAAAGAACATTTATACATTGTAAAAGCTATAATTTAAACAAATTTTAGAATATTTTTCTTAGCTTAATATTAAGTATCACAGCACAATTTGGTTATTTTCTATTAACAAATAGCTCACTTATTCTCTAAGAACAGCAGTTTTTAGCAAATTTAACTTTCTATTCTGAACCAACCAATAGCTATTTCTTTGTCAGATAAAATCTAATTGGATCAACAGAGTTTATCTCTTAAACTCTAGTTTATTGATATTGCTAAAATCCATGCTATTTGGCTATTTCTTGTTTCCATCAACCATCATGTACAATCTTATATGTTGTCTACTTCTATTTAAGTTTTACTTGTTCAGGAAATTAAAACCAAAATATAGATAAATTTAGCAAGCAAGCAATATTAATGGACAGTCATATGGTGTTTCAGGAAAAAAAATTATCATTTTCTTTTAATTTCCTGAACGCCATTGCATATCTACTTCGTTAGTCTCCCAGGACAAAGCATGGGTATTTCCCCTGCTTCTACCAGTAAATTAATTCTAGAACACAATTTTCAATTTTTAATGTATAATAAAATATTTTTCTCTAAAAAATGAGATATTTAAATGGAAAGAGTTTTTCCCCTGATACTCTATTTTATTATTACAGTTACTCCTTTACTATGAAGAATCACAAGGGTTTCTGGTAGAAGATATAATTGAAAATTAGATCTTATGTATAAACTGAGCCACAACTCAATACATAAACCAAAAACATATCTGCAGAGGTAATCTAGTTTTGGCTTGTTTCAATTTTTTAGCAACATGATTCCATGTATATTTTGGCAGACATAAAATGCATTAATTCTAATGGAATTTAGAATTTGATTGATTTGTTTAATATCTGCTTTAAATGGAAGTTGTTAAGTATGAATTGTTTCAGAAGCACTCATCAGCTTACTACAAAGGGCATATACTGGGTTAGGTGGAGATTTCCAGTAGAGGTCACCATTGCTTTAACAGCAAAGTAGACAAGGGCATTATTTTTATGTTTTTTTTTTAAAGAAAACATGATATGGGAGGGTTATATTTCCCAAAATTGGGCTAACATTATATGATCAAGGCTGTTTTTCATTCTTTCTATGCATGTTAGCTTTTGATTGCTAAGCAAAAATGTTTAGTGATTACAATATGGCCACAAGGCAACAAAATTAAATGATTTAGTTGTAACAAATGCACCTCTTTTCTAGGACTTGTAAAAGTTTATATTAGACTCAGAAGATGAATCTTTGAATATACCTAATTTCAAGTGAAATCTAAACAATAGTACTAATATGCATTCAGATCCACATGAGTATAATTTCCGCAACAATGTAATTATGCATTTTCTATTCATACAGAAGCTACTCTGTCTAAGGGATTAAAGCAAATAAAATGAATGACTTTTTTTCAAGTTACAGTTGCTACTTGTAGTCATATAATAACTTGGTGAAAGCACAACATAGTAGAAGCACCAAAATTTGTGCTGTCCCTTTAGGGCAAGTTCTCTGCATTTCTCAGGTTTTGAACAATTATTATAGTCCTTTGAAAAGGACTGTATTGCTCAATAATGTTTCCAGATGTTCCCCAGATCTTTTAGCAATGATTTAGACATCTGACATTAAGACTAGATTGCCTTTTGTGCATCATTATCCCTGTCATGAGAATGAGATAAGACTTGTAAACTCTTTTTCAAGAAGAGTTCTATGGACCTTAATGACATGATTCTCATTTTCATTTAAACCATATAAGAAAGCTTCATAAAGCCATAGAAGTTTATTATAATGTATATTAGTTAATTATGTTACACTGAAAACATTGTAATAACAAGGCAACTTTAAGATATCCACAAAAGTGAAGTTCTCACAAGGAAAAGCAATCTTAGTGCATTTTAACAACCAGGAGTTCAAGTGTAATTATGTTTTCATCTGCACTAAGATATTAGACTACATGATTAGCTTAACTAATATAGTTTTCAACTTTCCAAGCAGTGGGTTTGGAAAAACCAGGCTGGTAAGCAAGCACACAACTATTTATAAATTATCTGTGCAAATTTCAGACTGGACAAGGAAACAGGATGTCCACTGGAAACATAAAAAAAAAAACACCTAAAATCCATAGGGAATAATAGGAAATGAGAATAGCTACTGACATGACCAAGATTTAATCAATATAAGCCACAAGTGAGTTCCAGTAAAAATAAAGCAGAGTGGATTTTCAGATGCCCTGTCCAGGATGGTCATAGCCAGGAACAGCAATAACTTATACTGCTTTTCTTATTGTTGGTTTTAAAACGGTAGCAAAATTTGTAATCTTCTTGTCTTATTCACAGTATTACATGTATGTGTGCTTTATATTAATTTGTTCACTAATTGACAAAAATGCTGATATTACACACTGATAATGATCAATAGTAGGAAATAGCTATAAGGTTTATGATCAACCTTCCCCCGTCCCAGTGTAGCTATTTGTGAAACTTCTGAGCCACTTTCAGCATCAAAATTTACCCTGAAATGGCACCAGAAACAGTATTGTTTCATTTCTACTCCATCCTGTAGTCTTTCCATCCTCTGGCATAATTCCCTGTTATTGTCAATAGCCATGCTCATCTCCCAGTGATCTCCTACAGACCTTCATATGGTGGCTTTCCTCTTTTCCAGTGGATGTTCTTGTCCTTCATTTTATACATCCTTTGGGAGGAGAAAAAAACACCATAAAAACTTCCGACAGGCTACAAAAACAGAGCAACTTCTCTCAACGGATCGCACCTCTTTCCTCCCTGTCTGGCGTTTCTCTTCTAAAAATACAGCCTGATCATCAAACAAGACACAGTGAGCAGCGCCCTCACTTTCCATCCTTTCGCTACGCAGACAGCAGAGAGTTTTGGGGTGGGGGCGGGGGGGGGAGGGAAGAAGGGGGAGAACCTGACTGCAGAAATGCAATCCGACTAGTGTCTGTCTGGTGATTAAAAAGTAGAAAGGACGGGGAGGGGGGCGGCGGCGGTGTGGGGGGGGGTTGCTGCCATTGAAAACGAAGTAAAACCCTTAAAGGGACAAGAGCTGCTTATCCGAGTCCACGTCCAGATGTCTTCCTGGGAGATGTTACAGGAGATGGACTTTCCTGCTGGCAGACCCAACATCTTCCACCAAAATGTTGGCTGCAGCCAACAGGACTAGCTGCTTGAAGTGGCAGGTTCAGAGTTGGCCGCTGCCTCACTAGCACGACCGCCAAGGTTTTTTTTTTCAGCCCTAAGGAAAGAAATCGCGGGAGTCCGCTACTCCCGCCAGGGCGCCCGGTGCCCGGACTTTCTCCCTCGCAAACGCCGGCGGGCTCAACTTACCTCAGCGCTGCGGCCGCGGGCAGGTGGTGAGAGACCCCCTAGGGGCTGCTGCTGCCGCTGGACGCGCCGTTGCCCAGCCCGCCGGGGATCCTAACGCGCCTTGCTCCGTGGCCGCTTTCCCGACGCACCCCAGCCATTCACTTTCACACGGCCGCCGCAGCCTCATTCGGAAGTCGCTCCGCTCTGCCTGGGTCCTAGCGCCATAAAACGCGCGTCCGGGGAGAGCTGCGCGGAGTCGCCCGGGCGCCGAACGGGGAGCCTGTCTGACTCCTCGAGGAAAGCTTTGGTCGCGGACCGAGGCCGCCCGAGCAGGCTCTTCCCGCTGCTCGGCGGGGCTTCCTTTGCTTCGCTCCGGAGGCACGCGCTCAAATCCCGTCTCCTGAGGAGGATTAGTGGAAATGTGAGCCACGACTCCGGAGCCTTCCAATTTCTGAGCGAGGGAGGAGGCTGGACCCCAGGAGAACCCCCCGCCCCCTGCCATCCCCTGCCGGCCAGCGGGCGGGTCTTTGGCATTGGCCTGGTGTGAAGAGCAGTTCAAGCGTGCACTTGGAGGAGAGTCCGAAGTTTGTCTCCCTCTTGGTCACGTCTGATTCAAGGGACCGGTTAGGATTCGAAACAGCGCCGAACGAAACGCGGAACCATCCAGTTACTAAATCTCCAGCTGAATCTCCAGACTTTAATAACGGTCGCCGGGAGTCACGTCGAAGGATCTTGCCGGTCTCGAGGAGTCTCGAGTAGCAGGGAATTCGGGCTGTTTTTTTTTTTTTTTTTTTTTTTTAAGTGGGGGTGAGGCAAAAAAAAAAAAAAAAAAAAAAGGAAGACTCGGCAGTATTGACTAAAATGGGAAGAAATGACTCGGCAAACCGACTGAATCCAATCGAGGGCGAAAAGCGCTTTTGGAAGTCCCTACGATTTGAACCGAATTCCAGCTGAATGGCATTTCGACGTGGTCCGGAATTCTTAGGCATAATTGCCGAACCGGTTTCCAGATGGGTAACAAGCTTACAGTCTTGCGGTCAAAATAGTAGAGACGCGTTTAGACACTGCAGCGAATCCTGATATGATTTGCTACTTGGTAGCTTAGCGTGTTGTTCAAATCAAACCAAGGTTCGCTAGTATATATTGCGTGAAAGGCTTGTGGCATCCAAAAGAGCAGAACTGTGGATAATAGTTGACTTCAGGAAATACATAAAACATTAACCTGAGATGTCCTCAACCATGACCTGGATGTCTGAGAATCTCCACCTGATATATATATATATATAGATATATACCCATTCTTGGAGGAAAAGGGGGGATAGGGAGACAGTAATAAAAGAAAATGCTGAGACCTCAGGAAAATCACCATCCCAGTCTTGCATCAAAGAATGCAAAGAGCGCTCTTTAAAAGCCAGTTCACACCCCACAGTGTATTTAGTATCTCACAATAGCAAATTATGTGATCAGATACCAGTAACAAAGCCGGCTATCATTCCTTCATGTAATAATAAAGCATCGGCAAAACTGTTAAAGAGAACATCCCTCTACCATTCCATAGAGGCTACTGGATGCTTTTTAGGTCTGATGCAGCTTTTTCCAAAGAGGATGCCCTGCAGACTATATGATTCAGTCTATATGACTCAGGTCCCTGAATTCTTAGGCCAGCAGAGCTATTGCTTGATCCATCTGGTAGCATCAGGATGAGAGAAGGTTGGCCTATTTGCCATTGAAAATCTCAATCTCTCCCATGTCTGTCATAATACCAGGGCTACCAGATTATTACAAGATAAGGACCAGGCCAGTGGTGACAGTCATCAGTAGACACTGGTGTCTAAGAGTTCTCTGGATTGTCAAATGGTATCGCTCTTGCATGGAGCCTCAAATATGGAGCATTTTTTGGTTATTTTTAAAATGATTTTTTAATTTATATATTAAATATATATTGTATATTTTAATTTATATATTAATTTATATATTAAATCATTTTTAAAATGATTTTTAATTTATATATTTATATATTTAATTTATATATTAATTTATATATTAAAAAATTAAATTAATTTTTTAATTTATATATATTTAATTTATATATTAAATATATAAATTTATAAATATTATATTTATATATTTATATATTAAATGGCTGGCCAAGTCGCCCACAGTGACTTGTTTCATCAACTATACCAAAAGATGTTTAATATTAAATGAGCGGTCTCTTCTTTCATAGATTACATCTCCAAAATATTTTTTTTTACAAATTTCTTGTGTGACAACTATAGAGAAAATAGAAGGATAATGTTGAAATGCTGTGGAAATGATCCATAATACAAGTAATGGGAAAAGACAGCTGACAATAACTAGATGTGCAAACAGAAGAAACGGTATATAAGGAAATCTTGACTAGAACAAAATAAACTATGAACTCTCTTGCTTTAGAGCAGACAGCCCTCAATTCCCAATCACAAATATTCATAATCTAATTTAACATTTCTGATTCCATCCAGCAGAGGGCAGAATTTTGAGATATGGACCATCATTGTTAACCAGACTACAAAAGATAATTTAGGGTTCAGCATGTATCTTCTTACCAAACAGTTAATTGAACTAAGTGGCATTTCCTTCCTTTTCTCCCTTATATCAGAGGTCCTTTTATTAGTGCTGATGATAATGTTATACACAGTAATTACGAATTTAAGCTTTATTTCTATTGATTCCTGTTCCTACTTTCCTACATGTCATTTGTATGTTCTCTCCACCAACAATACACAACTGTAAAGTTACAGTATGATTAGACATTGTTTTATGCAAAACTTTGGAATGAATTGTTAAGCAATTGGGTTTGTAATCAAGCAGGGGAAAAATATTACTTGTCAGGACATGCCAAAGCCAACTGGTTTCCTTTTTGTGATAAAGTATCAATTAAGTTAACCAAGGAATGTGGTAGACATATACTCTTCATTAGAGCATTTAATAGTCTCCCACAAAACCTATTAGAAAAAGACGTAGGTTGGAGTGGGCTGTGCTATCAGTAGCTGGAACAACTCCATCATCATGCAATTATCTTGGCAACATTATCAAAAGAGGTTTGCCATTAGTTTCTTCCTAGGGCTGAGAGAATGTGATTGGCCCAAAGTCATCCAGCGCATAATCTTCCAGTTTCTACCTAATGCCTTTAACCACCACATCAAACTGGCTCTCATCACCTCAGAGACTAATACACTTCTCACCACATAAACTTCTATATATGATAATATTGGACTTTAAGATTTTATAAACCTTTTTATTTTTATTGTAGAAGTTGTAAAGTCTCCCATTCCAGAAGCTCATTAATTGCTAATCCTTATGTGAATGCTGCATATATTTTTAGCTATCATATGTTTTGACAGCTTGAATGGACAATTAGTTCTAAGGGGTGGTGTCCACTAGGCTTCCAAGTCCAATCAAACATGCTTGGACCACTTCCTCCAGGTAGAATTTGCCCAGTCTGTGTTAACATATAAGGAGTGAATGCTTACTACCTTCCCTATGAGATGTCAAGGGAATATAGGCCCAGAGACAGTCCTTCTACCAACCTGCCTTCCATTGAGGATCTGAACACTACATGAGTCAAAAAGAGGACTGTGAAAATATCTACAGATCCCTCACATCCTGGACATAAATTGTTTCAACTTCTACCTTCAAAACGATGCTATAGAGCACTGCACACCAGAACAACTAGATACAAGGACAGTTTTTTCCCGAATGCCTTTACTCTACTTAACAATTAATTCCCACAACACTGTCAAATAATTTACTCTGTATTACAATTATTCTTCTCTTCCTTACTAGTATCTATCTCTTTCCACTTATTACTATAACCATGTTTCTTATATCTTTCAATTTATACTATTTTTATTTGTTTCCTAGTACGATTTGATAGCTTATTAGTATCTTTTTATTCTTGATGAATGTATTTTATTCTTCTTATGTACACTGAGAGCATATACACCAAAGACAAATTCCTTGTGTGTCCAATCACGCTTTGCCAATAAAGAATTCTATTCTATAAATAAAGAATTCTTTTTTATTCTACAGTGCCCAGTGCTGTAGTATACCTTCTCCTTGGTACTGGTCTTGGGCAAGGCAATCAAGACAGTACTTTTGAATGTGGGAGCTCTTTATGATTGGCTTGCCATATTTATTCATATTTGTATGGTTTTTGATGAATGGTTCATATAGTTCAGTGGTGGGTTGCTACCGGTTCACCCCGGGTCGGGCGAACTGGTAGTGGTGGCGGCGGGAGGCTGCACCCACCCTCCCAAATGTCTCTGTGCATGCGCACGAGCAAACCTGTAGCAGCCGAAATTGAAACCCACTACTGATATAGTTGCTTCAACTAGGTGGTATAAGAATAATTATTCTATTCTATAGAATAGGCCCCAATATTCCTGGCCTTCCAGAAGACCCTGAAGAGCTTTTTTTCCTTTTTTTTCTTTTTTTCTCTGCACTTTTTTACTTTTTCTTCTTTAATTTAAAAATTCTTCTTAGTCTGTATTAGTCTTTTATCTTTGCATTTTCTAACCCCAATTCTCCATTTTAAAACACTGCATCTTGTCAATCAGTCATACCCAGCAATAATTCCTTAAGCTTCATTGTTATATTGTTTTATTCATTCTGCCTCACATTAAAATTCCTGCCATATAAGTTCAACTTAACTGGCATAATCAAAGCATCAGTTCTCTCATTTTTTTAAATAAGAGGTTACAACCCAGTCAAGGCCATGTTTAATAATACTCTGAATGGGTGAATCCAGTGCCTTAGTAGGACAATGTGTTTCCCTTCATAGAAGAAAAATGGAGTTATATATTTTCCATTGATAGTACTACTATATCATAAATATATAGAGAAAAAATTGGATAATATTTGAAATGAAATAATGGTCAGCTTTCTCTGTTTTTAATTGGAATGACCTCAAAACAATTAGCAAGCAAAGTATTCATTGACCTAGATAGACAGTAATTGTACTTCGCAAACATACAAAGGCCTGGAGTCACATAGGTCCTTGGTAGCAACAACTGATTGTCACTTAGCTACTGAGTGTCATTTATGGTGATGCAGCTCAGAACTGATTACTCTTTCAAATATAAACCACATTGGGAAATCAGACATAAATCAGCAGCAGAAAAGATGAAAGACCTGAAATTTGCATTGCCTGTGCTTTAAGTTTCAAGGTGGCTGTTAAAATCCAGGGAAAGCCAAGTATTCTATACAATTATAAAAATTTGAGTGTATCATCTTTGAGATCAGTACTGTTTTTGGGAAAGAAAGGGAAGGGGGGAGGGAGGGAGGGAGGGAGGGAGGGAGGAAGGAAGGAAGGAAGGAAGGAAGGCTGTGTAACCTGCAAAGATCAATAATCCAGGTTTCATAGTTGTGTTGCAATTATACAAA